TTGTTGTTCTATCCACGATCGACGGTCTTTGGTGCAGGCAAAGAATACTGATTGTCGACCGTTGATCGTGCAGTTGAATCGAGGGCTCGGAGTCACTCGGAGCTGACAGCGTAGCTTCTTTCCGCCCGTTTCTAAACCGGAAGCCGGAACCAAGTGCCGGACGGAACTGGCGGAACTCTGCAGCGGCGAATTCTCTCTGCTCCACCAGTGCACTGCTGGTGGTTGCTCATTTATTGCTTGTAAAATGGCGGCGCCTGGCGGCCCTCCAGCCTTCAGAGGTCCCCCTCCAGGTGCAATGGAAGGTGGAGCGAGGCCACCCCCGGCAGGAATGCAGAGTGGCGGCCTGCCCCCAAACGGGCCGTACGGGAGAATTCCCAGTTTTGGAAGCGAGGGCGAACCCCCGATGAAGAGGATGCGGGATGGGAATGGGCCGCCACAGCCGATGTGGGGGGGTCCCGGTGGCCCTGGGCCGCGGCCCCCAATGCAGGATCCCGGGAAGGACCGAAGCATGGCGTCGGTGTTCTACAAGACGAGGATGTGCAAGAACTTGGCGTTTCCGGGGGGGTGTCCATACCACGAGAAGTGCAACTATGCGCACTCAGAGGAGGAGCTGCGAACGCTGCCGCCAGAGTATGCTGGTGAGTTACGAGCAGCATGTCGGCGGCTTATGTCTCTGCCACCAATCTGTTTGTTTCCTGCGGTGGTACTTTCATTAAATTGCGCCTGCCTTGCTTCGTTGTGTCCAATTGATCTCAGGTGCCACTGCATCGTCGCTGCCAAAAAATGAAGAGGTTCTGGAAGAGGCGTCATTCAAATCGCGTCAGTTCAGACTGACACGTTTGGCTGCAGACAATACCGGTATATTGCCAAGCTAACGGGAAAAGGCATATGTTGAGATGGTGTGCAGAAGCGGCAAACGGGTCATGTTAAACTCCGTTCGCTTTGATAGCTTTGTGAAGCAAGACCCTTCGGAAGCACTGCAGCAGCTTGTCAATGGAGCACCCAGCAACTGTTTTAGCCCTATAATGCAAATGGAGGGTACTCTCATTTTCAGAGAGTGTGTTGCCTGACTTGTCCTCAGAGCTTGCTCAGGGTAAAGTTGTGCAGCTGCGACGAATTTAAGGGCGGGAAGGAGTGAACTGTCCAATCACTTCTCCTAGGATCAGTTTGGGCCAACTATCAATCAAAGTTTTGCCACCACACACCTTAGAATCTAGCGTTTTCTCGACTATATTTATTACCCCATGTCCTAACTCAAGTAAGACAAGTCAAGAAAGGTATATTTTGCTCTGCCCCACTTCAGACAGGGAGGACTCATTCCCACCGCCCCGTCCTGCAGCCGCCGTAGAGGGCGAGGCAATCGAGGTTAAAAAGCACCGTCCGTGCAAGATGTTCTTCGCGACGGGCGCCTGCCAATACGGCGACAAGTGTTACTTCTCTCACGACGACACTCTGCGCCCCCCTCCAGATGGCCCTCCCGAGCGCCCCCCGCTGCAAGGGCCGCCTCCCGGGGGGGCAAATTTCGAGCCAGACGGACCCCCCGGGCCAGGACCGGGCCCGCCGCACGAGGGTTTCGGGGGGTTTGGGGGGCCGCCGACGAGGCCGCCACCCGCGACACCGAAACCGCCGAACTGGAAGACGAAGATCTGCACCTCCTGGGATCGGCACGGGAGTTGCAGTTACGGGGATCGATGCGGGTTTGCTCACGGGCCGCACGGTAAGGGATTGAATACCCATTAATTTGCTGACAGGCCTTTGGATATCATTCATTTACTTAATCTAGCAACTCCGAGGCAGATGGTCTGAGAAGTGAAATATTTAGAGAGCTGAGCGTTCAAAGAATAAAAAGTATGAGGGCGGTGATGTTCTTTCCATGGGCCGTCTTACACACTGATTAGATGTGTTTCAAGCAGAATTGAAAAACCGAAACATCGCTTCAAGGATTGCATTAGCGCGCCATTGGCCAGTCTTTGCAAATTTTGAGGTATTTCGCTGGATGCTCGTTCTTATCTTCCCCTGTCACCTCGGAGATGGGGTACGAAGCACCGCCAAACACGTAGAAGATTCTTTGCTGCCGTCTCCTCAACACGCTTCGCTTGGACACTGTCATTGTGTGACCGACCTTACGGAACGAATCATCAATCACCATAAAGCATCTTGTTGACACCACGTTCTTTTTCGCAGAAAAGTTCAAGTCCTATGAACGAGAAGCCTTTTGAGTTGTGTCAAGCGTGAAAACGGGTGGAGTTGCCCCGGGGTTTAGGGCGGGTTCGGTTTTGGAGCGCATGCAAATTTCCGGTTAGGGTCTTTGTTTCAATTCTCCCTTCTTGTACATGTAATTTTTTATTCGTTGAATGAAGACTTTTTCCTTGCAGAGCTGAGAGCTTACGGTCCTGTGGTTGAGGATGCGATCAAGCCTGGTCCAGGCCCGGCGTTTCATGGTGGGGGGCCGCCTTTTCCTGGCGGTGGACCCCCCCCTTTCGGTGGCCCGCCTGGGCCGAGGCCGAACGGCTTTCCGCAGGAAGAGCCAGGTGCGTTGGGTTGCTTTTGGTGGCAGTTGTTCTCCCGGTAACTCTCCAGAATAGTCTTAGTATGCTCAAGTCAAAGTAGGAACGAAGCGAACACTAAAACACAAACTCGTCAGTCACCGGCTTCTCACTCATGACCACCCTAACCACCTTCCTAACCCTACCCGTTCCAGTACTATGGTTTGACCTTTTCTAGAGACCCATACTTTTTCGGCTGCCGATATTAATCGATAGACTGACTTGAGTTTCGTAAATGCTCTGGGGGTTCTTCTAGTGCATATTTAAACTGTCTTAGGAGCGTTTCCTTTCGTTGCTTGTCTCCTGTGAACTTTCGATGGTCACAGTCCTTGCATAGCAGAAGGAATAACATCGAAGAGCCGTCCTTATGACGACTTCAAACTTGAGGCACATATTCGTCGTAAAGGAGACCTCATACTGAGAACGACAAAATGCGGAAGGAGCGCTGTCCCCATCTCCAAGTGCAAATCTTGCGTACGCTGAAAGATTTTGCATTTCAAACCCGGATGTCAGTTGACGGGTATTGCAAAAAAAAGCCCTCCGGTAGATCTGATTGTAAGCTCTTGACACTCTTTAGGTGCTCGCTCTGCCCAGGTCTGGTTTGGATCTCGCAACTCGGGTAGCAAATTGCAATGGTATGTCCAGCGCAGTAAGCCTCTAAGCCTCTAACCCGAAACCACTACTAGAGTAGTATGGACACCCAACTACCAATCGTCGCCTTTCCCCCTCCTCCCAGACAAAGCCCTGGCTCTAGCCTCACGCAAGGACACTTGTCAAGATTGACGCTAAGGTTTCATCAGCTCTCGAAAGCACCCCGCTTTCACTCTGCCCCCCAAGGGAATGAACTGCCTCTCGCCTCCGGAAAGGTTCCGCTTGCCTGTTAGTCTTTAACCAGCTCCCCTACATAGTCCGACCGAACTCGGACGATAACCTTCTGCAGGCAGAAACCCGGTTTTCTGACCCCTGATCCGACTTCAAGAGTGTCAAAGCAGCGTTCCCTCAAACTCCACTTACGCTTTTGACACCGTTTGCTTCAGGCAAGGACTCGGGCCTGGGCCCCGGCATGGACTCTGCCCGATCCGACGGCTCCAACGGCGCCTTCGAATCCGGTCCGCTCGTCCTGACCGTCGATCTAGACCTCATCCACGGCGACTCCATCTTTGAAGAAGACCTGGAAGACGAATCCTTCAAACCGGGCGACCCCGGGGAAAAGAACGCCCGCCCGGGGGGCGAAAACGAGCCCGGCCCGACCCCCTCGAACCAGAACCGGCCGCCGGACATGCCGCGCCGCGACGGGTTTGACGGGTTTAGGGGCCCACCCGACGGGATGCCCCCCGGGCCGTGGATGCACCGGCCGCCATTCTTCCGGGGGGGTCCCGGCTGGGGCGAAGGCCCCCCCCGAGGATTTCCGCCGTTTGGGCCGAGAGGCCCCGGGTTCCATTTCGGGGGGCCCGGAGACTTTGGCCCGCCGCCGGAGGCGTTTTACGGGGGGTTCGGACCGAGGGGACCGCCGCCGAACTTTGAGGGGGGGCCGCCAAGGGGATGGGGTGCTCGGGGGAGGGGCCCTGGGCAATTTGAGATGGAGCAACCGGCGGGGTGAAGTTGCATGGGGAGCATGGATTTCAGATTTGATTGTTTGCAATGAAACGCTTTATGGGGCGATCCGGAACGGGATTGGAGAGCGTTGGGGGGGAATCCTGATAGCGGTATCCAGTGTGCACTGAAGCTTCAAGGTTCGTGGGATCTCGCAGGAGACCTGAAGAGACGCGCAAGAGTACCGTAGAGTGGACGTTGTAGGGACGCTCTCGAAATTCGTGCAAGTCAGTCTACACCACACCTGTTTCATTAAGTTCTGTGTCACTGAAATATCTCATTACATAGTGAACGTCGGTACTGCATGCTGCTACTCTGCCAATCTGGTTCAATCATGCATATCTATGCGCGTCCGCGCGCTGACCGCAGTTGGTCGTTTTGGGACACGTTTACATATGGGCAGCCCGTACGGGACCTGCTTTCGAGCACTGCATACCCGGCGAGTTGTTTAGATTATGACGCGTGACAAGAACGCCTGCCAACTATCACTATCTATGTCGCGCTCGCGCCGCCGCTTCAGGCTGATACAGGCAATTCGTGCAGATTGGTTGACGTTTGGAACTTAGTCTGTCGCATAGCCCGGCACGCGCGATCCATGCGTACAAGCACTTTTTTTGGGGTACTCTTTGATATGGGCCTAGCCATGCTTTCAATGCAAAGAGTCATGCAGCAAAGTGTCTGCTCCACATGCATGAGGTAAAATAGCCTCTCCGCCCGCACGGCTATGCTTTCAGATGCGGCCGCCAACATGCTGCGACTTGGAATGATTGAAAGACTCACCTGACGGTATATCACCTCAATTTGCTTAAAGATCCGATCGCAATTCGGAGGACCTGTCCTACCTCAGGCGACCAGATTACCACCCATCAGGGCCAGCTTGGTCGCCGAGACAACTTTGAAGACGGATTTTGAGCCGTCAAAAGCAGATGTTCCCACAGCACTTAGATGCACGAGTTCACCTTGATCTGACGCTCTCTTTAACGCCTGTATTGCTTAGTGGGCGAGTCGCAATCGACATCGTCACCGCACTCCATGCAATTCTTCAAGGGCAGCGGCTGCGCTCTTGAACCTTGCGTTCGCAACTTTCAAAGATCGAGGCGCTGGCTAGCTGAGACCGACTCGTGTATGCGCGCGAGCGGAGGTGACGATGCCTTGTCCGTATAGTTCCAAGGACAGACCAACGCATCGGATCATCAGCCGGGCTATGAAAGGAAATTCATCAGCGGACTCGTGTGATAGTCTGCCATTGACCGAGTCTCGCTTGAAGCGGAGACACTTGAAGTCCGGCAGGTTTGCTTCGAATATGCTGTAATAAAGATTAGTGTGCGGTGCCGGTCTGTCGTTGGGTGCATGTCTCATGCACGTTACGGTTCGCAATCTTTCATGCAATGCAAGGAAGCCAACAGAATGCTTAGACGCACACGTGCCCACCTCAACAATAACGCAGAAATCAAGACGACCTGGGCCGGGGCAGCTTTTCGCGATTCTGAAACGACCATTTTCCCCTAAAAAGACCGGATTGTCCTCCTTGAGATTCAAAACCACATTTTTAAAAGTAGGAATGCTCCTTTCGTGCCGGATAACCTGGAGCAGCGACACCTCAAAGCAGCGCAGTTGCATGGCTGCAGATTAGGGAAAAAGTCCAAGCGGCGCTTCTTCTCCACCGATACAAGCACCTTTTCAGTAGGCACTTTCGACGCTCAGAAAACGTCGTCTTTCCGCACCCGCTCCTTCCCATGAGAGCACCATTCCTCTATACGCAAAGTAGCATCAAAGCTTTATCTCTTAGGGGAAAATATACCTGAAGCGATGGCGGAAGCTGCGCAAGGCAAGTCAGACGCGCCCGAGGCTCACGAATCGGGGGCAGCAACCGAGCGTCAACCTGAGCCAGAAGTACCCACCGAGAAGGACCAACCGCCCCAGCAGCAGGAGACGGCGCCTGGAGAAGGGGACGCTCCTCGCCCGGAGACATCACCGGCGCAGCCTCAGGAGCAGCAGGGGGGAGAAAGCGGGCAGGATCAGCCCCCCCCGCAGGATTCTGAGCAGCCGGGGGGAAAACCCGGGCAGGAACAGACCCCCCCGGAACAGGCGACGCAGAATGCCCAGCCTGGGGGACAGACCGCGCAAGAGACGTCCCCCCCGGGACAGGCGCCGCAGACCCTCGCGCAGCCGGGGGGACAATCCGCGCAGGGAATGCCCCCCCCGGGACAGGCGCCGCACGTTTCCGCGCAGTCGGGGGGACAGACCGCGCAGGAAACGCCCCCCCCGGGACAGGCGCCGCAAACCTCTGAGCGGCCGTGGGATCAGACCGGACAAGAGCAGCAGGCCCTGGGGCAACGAACCGGGGAACAGGCCCCCGAGAAAATAGAAGCGCAAGCTGGTGGGGGGGAAGAAGCTGCGGGGAAAGCGGCGGGGGGAACCGGGGGAGAAGCGCAGTGGGACGGGGGGCGCGTCGTATTCCACCACCCATTCACGCGGTCGACCCGGGTGGTGTTCCTGCTGGAGCAACTGGGGCTGCCGTACAAAGTGAGGCGATGAAAATGTTGATTGTGAATGCACTTGATGTAATGAATAGAACTGTTGACCTTTTAACCCGCGTTGCTTTAGACCCTGCTAAGGTCTCAGAAAGTCGAGCGTTGTTCTTTGTTGATGGCTGCCAAACTTCGGTTGATGTCGCTGCAAGAAAGAGCCTGGCAGAAAGCTACGGGTTTTGTTCTCTTTCTGTGTGATATTGCCTGCATGTGCAGGCAGCGTAAGCAGTGTGGAAGATTTGCTATTCCTCGCATGGCAGGACTTTCCGACCTTAAAAACAGGCCGCTCGTGTTTTCTAGTTTTTTCTTCAGGTCTCACAACCAGCTGGAATTGCATGAACAGGCATATGCAGTACCCTTTTGTCCTTTGGTCGGACGCGTCATTGTGTGCGCGAGTGATCGCAACACATGCGCGCCCTTTTTTCGCGCATTGAGACACGTCAGCTGTCCTGTCCGTCTCTTTCGACATAAGCAGACTCCGCTGAAGCAAATTAAACGGTTTTACATCTTTCTCAGCCCGGATTTCTGGGCAAGTAAGTTGAAGTCATCGAAAAGTATGCCAATCTGCTTGACTAAAATAATCTGTTTGTCAGCACGTGGACAAAAGTCTGAAGTTTTTAGACCCTGACCCGCTTCGCCGTTCGACCCTTGCTCGCCACTCTCAGCGCGTGCTTTCGATGAGAACTTTAGCCCAGCGAACACTAACCACTTCAGTTATTGGCAGATCCTTTTTCTTCTTCAGCGCGTGTACGTGGACAAAAACCTGAAGCCCATCGGGCCGCCCGGCTCCTTCCCCGACCTGAAGCTGCGCGCGCTGCCGACCCTGCTGGACAATGACGTCATCATCACGGAATCCAGTGAGCGCAACTCCTAGAGCAATCTGATGCCAGCGTTGTGTGATTTGGACGGTTAGTAGCACGCGTTGGATAACTCTGTGGCGATCGTAAGCGGAAAAAGGGAGCCTCCCTCTGCTAGTCGCTGATCTCTTGTACCAGCTAGCGAAGTGCTTTTCGTCCATTCCTCTTTTACCGGGCCACATCGAAGCAGACTTCCGTTCAACCAGAAGTGTCGCTAACCCTTACCGGTCGACACCCTCGAATCCTGATGGAAAACGAAGATGTAGAGAGTTAGAAACTCACCCACATACGCTCTTCGTTAACTTCCTTAACGCTGATCTCCAGACGCCAGATCAAGACGTACCCTTTAGAGAACCAGAAGTAAAACCACCCCCATCTTACCCGGATAATTGTACCCTAAAAACTCTCTGATTTCAAGGTTGATCAACCCTTTCTCGTCGCCATTTGGAGTTACCTGCTGGAGAAATAGAGTCCGTCCAATCCCCTTTTCTCCGAGTACGTAAACCTAGAAACCTTTCCTTACCCCGGCTGCGTCAACCAAGAATCTTCATTAACTCCGATTTGCTAACCCTCCCTAGTTGCAATCATGGAGCACCAGTGCTACAGCAGTACAATCCATTCGCTTCCCTTGTTACCCGGATTCACGAAAGCGCTCTAATCTCAAGTATCGCTAATCTTCTCTAGTCGCCATCATGAAGTGCTGTTGAAGAACAACAGTCCAAAACCTTTCTTTACCCTGATACTTGATACGCCTAACCCAAGGACCTCTCTGATTCTAGCTTCCGGTAGTCCGTCTCTCGGGTCCCGATCATGGCGGGTCTGCAAGAACCACTCTTTAAACAGTCAGCCCCATTCGCTAAACGCTCAGCCTGGCTTTCCTTAATCCAGTTTCCGTTAACCCTCTTCAGTCGCGTTCATGGAGTACCAGCTCGAGCAATACAACCCGTTCGCTTCCCCCCTTACGTTCTTCCAGAAACCCTGCTAACCGAGTTTCCGCTAACCCTCTGTAGTCGCGATCATGGAGTACCTGCTGGAGCAGTACGACCCGGAGCATACGCTATCCCCCCCGCACGCGGACAAGGCGGCACGTGCCCAATTCTTACAGTGGCTGGTTTGGGCGGAGGCGTCGCTGACCATTCCGGTCGTGGGCTACGTGGTCAACATCGTTCTGCTGCCGGAAGAGAAGCGGAACCAGAAGCTGGCGGACGCGTGAGTCCCTCGATTTTGTCTCTCAGAAAATATGAATGGGTATCTCTGTGCTGCCGAAAGGGAAGTGGAACCAGATGCTGGCGTCCCTCGATCTAGTCTCCCTGTCTTGATGTTTGAATGTTGCGCGCCACGCCCCTTTTTACGAGCTTCCAAAGTAGAGGAAGTCGAGAATCGTTTACTTGCGGGACGAAACACGGAAGCAGAGGGACCGCGAGAACCCTCCTATCTAGTTTTCTTGTCTCGAGGCCCACGTGATGGTGACAATCTTCATTATGCACAATCTGTGGGGCGGAGTCATCTGAAAAAGCTTCCAAGTTCAGGTCTTTGGAGATCGAGGGCCCGAAGACTTGACTCGTACCATTTTTTGAGAAGCAGATATCAAAGTTACAGATATTTCGGTGGTTTACGGACAATCTGTGGTGGTTGCAAGTAGGAAGACGCGCGTAGAAAAGGTAGACAGCGTCAGAAGTCTCCTTTACGCAGGTTCAAGCGGACGGCGCTGGAGGAGCTGGGCGTGCTGGAGGCCGCGCTCGCGGGCAAAACGCGCGGCATCGTGGGCGACTCCTTTTCCGCCGCGGACATCAGGTGAAGTGTCCAAGCACGCAACGGAATTTCTTCATTCTAGGAAGGGTTCTTCCTTTGTCCCTGACGTTTTTGGAATCGCTAGGGTTGGAATAAGGGGACACGGCTTACATTGGTTCTTGTATTGTTCACAGTCTTGCTTGCACGCCTCTAAGAAACTTGGTACTTTGCTCCGTTAGGATAACCCTGACTTGAGCTCCTTCTTCCGTGAGGGTTCTTGAAAACCGCCTTTTTCTGATAGATCACGTCATTTGAGCTAAGAAGCCAGCCGTTTGTATTGTATGGCATGCTCTCTGTCGTGAGTTCAGGCTGACGTTGCGCACTCACATCCAATGACCGTTGATCGGAAAGAAGTCTTAAAAGGTTACTGCCGAAAGTCGTCGTTCATCCATCTCAGCTTCTAGTCCTCGAAGCGAAAAAGGCACTTCAAGTCCGGGGCAAGTTGAAGCCCCGGTGTTGATCGGCTTTAGGAACGATGCTGACGTTTTTGTTCCGTTTCCGTTCCGTTGTCCAGCCTGCATTACCCCATCTTCCTGGCGGCGGAACACGCGCAGCTCGTCACGCCGGAATGGTACCCGAACATCGCCACGTGGTACGCGGAGTCCAAGAAGCTGCCCGCGAGGGAGAAAGCGTTTGCCAGCATGTGAGGCGGGATGCGTGCCGGAATGAGCGGACAGAGCGGAATGAGCGGACGTGCGAAATGAGCGGAATGAGCCGGACTCTGCTTGCCAAAGTCAAGGCGACTCCTCGCAAGATGTGATAAGAACTCGAGTCCTCGAAATAGAAACGTAGAAGCTGGGCCGTGATTATGGCGCCTGCGGTAGGATGTAGTCAGATTGTTATCGTGAAGGGTTTAGGAAGGTTTAGGAAGGGTGCTAGCGAGCGGTGCGGATTGCGCGTCGAAGATGGAGCGCGACTTTTGGGGACGCGTATGCTGGCACGAAGTCAGAGATGTATGTTTGGGGAGTCAGGATCATAGTGGTTTACGGTGGGTTTTGGCACGTAGACCCTTCGCTTTGGTTGCGTGAATAGGGAGACGATAATAGTCGGGTTTCGCTGATCTTGGGCCGTAAGCAGGGTGTGCGCGGTTTTAAATACGTAGCTCGAGGTTTGTAAATGACCATCTTGTAACGTAGAATGCAGGAAGCCTACTAACACAGGCTTGGAAGTGTTCAATGGCAGAGCTTTTGCAGATAGACAACGGTCTGCTGCAACTATGGCGGGTGCTTTGATTGTGCAAGTACGTCGATCTGAGAAAACGAGTCTCAGTCACAGGAGACGCTTCTGACACTACAGAAGACGCAGATTTCAGTCCTTGACGTGCAAAGTTTTTCGAAGTTTGCACATGAATGTACAGAATGATCGACAAAACTGGGCGCCGGGTTGATTGGATTAGTGCGACGCTCAATCAACAAATGGCCTTCGAAAATAATGAGACAAGTCGTGTCCTTCATTCCTGGCCGTTCTCGTTCGACCGTCGAGCTTTCGCACATGCATGAAGTGCTTGCAGTGCTTTACTGCCACACTTGTGGCAGTGGTTTGGAGCCCTATTCAGCCGCTTTGAACGTGCGCCGAGTGCGCTCGGTACCGTCGAGCCTGGACATAGTACCGCCAGCTAGCAGTTATCAATCATCATAAGTGACGGTGGCACCCCAATGTGTTTCCAATAAGGTATAACATGGCACCGAGTCATGCGCGCGGCGCTGGCCATGCGCACATTCTGGTATTAATGCGATCAGGACCACAATTTAGGAGGGGATTCAGCTTGAGACTTGATATAATATGGTACAAAAAGCATTAGAAGGCTCATGAACGAAGAGCACCTCTGGCTGAGACTCAAGTGAATGTGGCCGCGGGAGCTGCTAGCCCGTGTATAGTACTTGTCAAGCTTTCTTCCTAAGATCAGAAGGACCACCTTCGTCTTGGCACATGCAATGGCGCGAGCTCTGCACATGTCAAAGTTGTCACGGATCGCCACGTGCTGACGGGATGGCCACATGAGGCACCTCCGACAACATCGACGTACTGCAACAAGCATCTTAATTCAGTACATATATGGATCATTCGATGGTCCTTCCGGCAACGATGGCCGCTCTTCTGTTCAATATCCAAATGGGTCATGATCACAACGTAGTGTCTGATCTGGCTGCGAAGAAGCGTGTGGCTCAGAACGTGTTGATGCCGCGACTACCATTAATCTGTTCTGAAGACGCAATCAAGTACATTCAAGCTGACTCGCAACGAGAGCTCTTTGACAGAGCCCCACAGTCACTTGCGTAACCTCCTTTTAAGGGCTTGCACCCGGCTTTCGAACCTGTAGAGACTGCTTGTCAGGACCCTGCGTCTGTGATCTTCGCTATCATCAACTCCTGTTCATGTCGTACTTTCAGGAGGGACTCGTACTCTCTGCCGATATCCTGCAAACAGAAAGGTAGAGAAAGTTCAAGAGAGCCTTTATCTTGAGCAGCCTTGATGAGGTTTAGGATAGCTTAAGCGTGCCGCCAAGCGTCCCAGCATCAGCCTTGCACGCAGAATGGAGACTTGCCGACTTGATATCGACCTGTCTCTCAAGCACGCACCGTTTGATGATCATTCACATCCCAAGTAGCAGGACGAGAAGAAAACCAGGGTCTCATTACGGACGACTAGGTGCTTCTTCTCAACATGACAGAGCCAGCTTATGTGTAAGAGAATGCTTTCAGACTCAAAACCCGACAATTCGTTCTGGACCCTCGAAGACCTTTCCATTAAGCATTTCTCCTGCCAGTCGACAGTTCTTCACGGTTGGCCTGTCAGAATACAAGTTCGACGTCCTTCGCAGTGTCTGGACAATCCAGCCAACTAGAAGTATTCGGGTACCGCTTGGGCAAAAAACCTCTGAAGTTGGTAACGAGAGCACCGGGGCCATAGGTGTTATCTGGTGCAGTGTCGGTTCGTAACTTGTCCCAAAATCCAGCCAGAAGAAGGAGAAGAAGCAGCATCACCAGTTTAAAACTTGCGCAGATCATGTGTGACGCACTCAAGGGCCTTCGAAGCAACGACGCAGCCAGGCGTTACACTCACGTCTAGTTCCTGTTGCTTCTCTGCTAGGACCGCTGCTTGCTCCCCCAGCTTCCGTTTTCGCACGTCCGGTTCCATGGTCGCTTTCAACCTTTGCCCCATCGCCCTCAACTTTTCGTTCTCTATCTTCTGCGCCTGAGCTCCTATCTGTTCCAAGAGGCCCCTGACCACCTGTAGAAGAGAGAATTTTTTCTGATCATTTCTGTGCATTCATTGGCATCGATAAGCGTGTGATGATTGATTGACAACATGCAATCAACCGGCAAAATCTGGCCACATATGCTGATAGGACTTGGCATCCACCCAACAGCATACTTGGACGGATGTAAGAACAAGCAGGGGGGTAATTATTATGAGGCACGGTGCACAAAATCTGACTGTGCCATTAGAACACACTGAGAGACAAGTGGAACAATCAACGTCCCAGGCTGGTGTGGAAGCAGCTGGAATCATTCACATCCAGTCACACCACCTTGTCCTCTCATGACACAACAACCCCCAGAACTTTGGAAGTTGAGTTTTGTCATGAAGGGGCTCCTTCTGTGAACAGCAAGCACTTGAGCTGATTAATACCACCCCTGAAGATGTGGTCTTCCAGCTTCCGTGCATTTGCGCTGAAGCCCCTCAGCAGCATCAGTTGGATCTATGATTTGCAGCTATGGGCTTGATTGTATCAGTATTTTCGGTCGGACCCTTTGGAGAGTTCCATAGGCAATTCTCAGCTCTTGGAGGATATCTCAGCTCTCTTCTGGCAGCTTCAAAGCTTGAGGAATCTGTGATCTCTGATTGCTTACTCCTCTTACCTTGTCAAGCTCACTAATCTTGCTTGTGAAGCTTTCGCAGGCCTCTTGGAGCTCCTTCGTCTGCCGCTGCTTGTCTGGGTCAAACACGCGTATCCGGTACATTTCGTCGAACGTGATGCCCCGATCTTCTGACGCCATTCTGCCAACGCGTGCTTTTTTGGCTCGACTTTATGCAATTGTCTCCAGAAGTATTGCAGCTCCTTAGCTCTTCAGTCCTGAGGAGGGCAAAGAACAGTCAACACCTTGTAATGGCCAGAATCCTGCTCTGCCGCGCACTTTGATTGCAGGTTCCTGAAGTGGAGACGAGGAATGAAGTGTATGGGGCAGAAAAAGGGACGAAAGCCGCAAGCTCTGAAGCAGAAATTTGACATGTGCTGCAGAGAGCTTGCATAGAAAATTAGGGTTCGGCTTGAGAATCAATGCTTGAGAGAAGTCCAATTCTTGTTCGATATCGATGCGCTGGAAAAGCTGTACCGACCTCTGTTTCGAACGCTCGTCGAAGCCTGGCACGTTTGCTAAGTGTTTCGCTGAGGTCGCGACGAAACTAGAGCCGCGGCGAATCCAGCTCTAGCCTCGCAAAAGTACCCTGCCAGCTGGCCCTTCTTCTGTAACCCAACATGCGTAACCCTCCTATAACCGACCTGTTTTCTGTTCCCAATCACCGGCCTTTGAATCCACACCTGTCCACACCTTTCTCTGAGGAAGCCTTGGTGATGCCCGACTGCTTTGGCCCTGGGCGACGGAGGGTTCCGAAATAATCACATTTTGGTTTTGCCAGCTGCCCTTCTGAGCTGCAGATCGAGGGGCGCTGCAGCCAGCACACTGCCATGTGCAGAGCGCAATTGACAGGAGAGGCGCTTGCCCAATCACCATGCCCAAGCCCGGCCTGCAACCCATGCTCCAGTGGCTCCACTTGATCAAGCTGGACGGGAGTGTTGTGCGGGTGCGGACAGCGAAGCACTACCAGATTGAGCCAAAGGTCGTGCTGCTGAAGGACAAGGAAAAGGAGCAGGCGACCAAGGGGCAGATCGGGCGGTTCAAGGAGCGCTTTGGGTTGAAGGTTGAGAAGTGAGGCGCAGGGTTTAGCGAGTGCGCAATCGCGACCTAGCTCGAGGAGTCTTGCAAGTACCTAGGTTCTTTGCAGAGCGCCGTTAGCGAAAGAAGAGGAGCCCCAAACTTGAGCTTTGGATAGGAAAGAGGGGAAAGCTTGCGACACCGTGCTGTAAAGGAAGGAAGAGAAATGGCGGACGGCAAAGCGGGGCTCTTTGCGACGGCGCCCCCTCTGGAAAGCGCGGCCGGACTGGAAGTCACCGAGTTGAAGGCTGAGGAGATTCAGGTAAACATTCTAGAATTGCCCTCAATGCCATCGGTGGTAGTTGGGCAATGCAATTGTATAGGAAATCTCAGTGGAAGCCATGGCGGCTCTTCCAAGATTTTCGTTTGTTTGGCTCTAGGAGGTAGCATTGTTTTCAGGTATGTTCTGCCAGCGTCTGGCAGTGGCTTTTCCGATCCTGTTTTGCTGATGTGGGCCGAGAACACGTCTCTTCTGTGGGTATGGAAAGGCTGGACCAATCTGCAGTAACCTCTTTGAGAAAAGCTTCTGCTGAGTGCTCCTGAGTTGCTGGACGCACAGAGCTGCGAATGCGCATGCATCCATTTGATCGTTTGTTCCTTAGCTCTGGCGCCCAGCTTGCTGCCTGTGTTTTGACAAGGTCTCTGATGTTGTGAGGGTCAGAAAAGTCAAGAGTTCTGCTTGTAGGATTATCTGGTTCCCAGGCGAAAGTCTATCTGCCGGCGTTTTGGCTTTGGAAGGGCATTGGGGTTCCATTTTTCTGTTAGTCATGGCACACCCTAGCGCTTTGACGTGGAGGATCCCGGTCCAAGTCACACAATTAAGTTTGGGAGGCCTACCACTTGTCTTCTCCTTACTGGGGACGTTCTGGAAGCGCATGTGAAGCTTCAAGAGCTGCTGATATGGAAAATGCTTGTTTCGCTGAGATGCGTGCGCGCAGCCAAAGGAGGACTTTGGTAACAATTTGCTACCGGCGGAGGGCGGTGTTTAGCGTCAGACCTGTGTTGAATGTTTTTCATATCCTCATGCCACGCTGAATCTCAGCGACAATTTTGGGAATATAGGGCCCATCCCTTATCAAACATGAAGCCGCCCATGTCTTACTGGGGTTTGCGTCAAACCTGATACCGGTGGACGTTGCACGTCGCACACTATCTCGTACTAATTCCCTGCTTATAAGCTGTATACTTATGTGTGTGGCCAAACCCTTAATACCTCAGGGTTTAGCTGCGACACAGAGGCCACCTTGTGTTTTGGTTGGGCGGTGACTGGGAACGAAACCGAGGCCAAACCCTTGATTTCTGGTGGCTTATCGCTTCTGACGCTCTCGGGGATATTGCTCGATAGTGTGCCACGGGCAGCGTCAACCGGTATCAGGTTTGACGCAATCCCCAGTAGATGCTTCGGAGCTGCCTATGATCGAGAAGGATGGTCGCATTACAGTTTTTTCTGGGTATGGGATTCTCAGAGCATTAGTAGGGTCCAAGAATATGTTTGGAAGTCCGGTCTGTTGACCAATTGTGGGGGTCTTACGAATGCATCACCCACCTATTGATACTAAGACTTGCTGAATCCCAATTCGCGATTGACGAGAAGTGTACAGATTTGGCCTCAGTAATCCCAGAAGGCACGCACATCTTTAGATCTTCAATAAAAATCAGAAGCCAACCACCAGAGAGTCAATGTACAACGATCCCGTTACAGATCCAAGCTCCTAAGGCTGACACAGCACTTTTTTCTTGAGTTCGCAGGAAGCTTTCAACAAGGCAGCATCGTCAAGCAAGTTCGATGACCCAACCGAAGAAGCCCACGGCCCTCCTGGGGGGGCTGGAGTAGTCCTAGATCCAGAGCCACTTTCACCCCCTGGGCATGACGGAGCTGAGGGTCCAACTGATGGGGGGCCTTGTCTAGACCCGGAACTAGGAACTTGGGGCTCCAAGGAGGGTCCGTGCATAGAGTCAAAGGGCTTTGCTGACCCCATCGGAACAGGGAACGGGGATCTGAACCTGGGCCCTTTGCCAGGGAGCTTGGAAGACGACGATGGGGAAGGAAAGGGTCTCGTCGATCTCGGCGAGAAGGTATTGGAAGGGTGTGGGGGAGTCATCGATGGTATCAAGGAGAAGATTGGGGACTCGATCTTCGTGCCTGCTGATCCCACAGAGCCGCTACCGGGAGTCGACATGTAGGGTGTGTCTGGGTCAAGGCTTGCAATCTTAGCTTTATCCAATTGAGGTTTTGTAGGAAGACGTCCCGAGTCTAAGGAGGAGCTTATTTTTCTCAGGACCTTTGATGTTATGCGGTCTCATTCTTAGGGAGAGCAGTTTACGCGGAAGCTATTGTTGCCATCGTCAAGTTTTACTCAATCCAGACTCGAGTCGTGTTGTTACGCATGCCGCTTCTGCCACTTGGTGTAAGTGACATGATTGCATGTGAGAGACACATTGTGCAAGACATTTGAGACGCAGATGAGAAAGCTAGACAGGACCATGCACTGAGTCTGACTCTTGACTTAAAATCTGGGTATCCTAAAATTACTGACGGCGTCTTTGATTTTCCGCATCTTACAGAAATTAATCCAGCAGTGATAGCAGACTCAAAAAGCCATAACTCACCGACCAGGCGGCCGTACCTGGCCCTGACATGATGTTGAACTTCAGAAGCGGGCCTACATGATGCATGAGGCTAGCCCGGGCCCGCGCATGATTAGATTCCCTAAGCAAACCCCCATGTGCAACAACGGGCAAACGGACTCACGGTGGGCCCCCGCGGCCCATTCTGCACTGAGGTCATGCCATTGTTGCCGGCGGCCGCAACTCAGCTGTATGGTTGGATAGTAACGATAGCGGATAGTAATGATAGCGGTCCAATCCGACGCTCATATATGAGCGTCACGTCATTGATACGAATGGCAGAACCGGAAGCAATCCCGGCCATGCAACACTTTACCACCAGATTCGTACGTGGATATTAGCACACGTCGGAATCAACTATAGCTAGCTGACCGCGCAAGCCATGAGACAGACCTCCAATTCAATGGTTTACTGATCTGCACACCCGGTGCAATCCCGCCCTTCATTGCAACACTCTACCACCAGACGGTATGACTCGTACAAGCTCGCCTCAGGTTAATTGTTTTTCTCGTTGCTAGCTTAACACCAAGTGATGTACACAGACTGTTTGTGACGGTGTGATTAACTCGCAGTATCATCAGCCACTATCGAACGGACTCCGGGATGGGGCCTAGGGAATCAAGTTCGAAAAGAATAAGTTGCATGCTCGTACGGTCCGGATCAATCTATACCTACACAAGTTCTCAAGGCTGGCAAGTTGTGGATATGAAGCTGATTCACAACCGCGACCTGAAGGATCTAAATATGCATGCTTGACTAATCATGTGGAAAAATCGGTCGGATACTTTTGTTTCTTGTCCGTCCTTGTAGAGCGCCGTGCTTCTCCCATGAAATACTGTACAGATCCGTACCAAGTTGAAGTCTCCCTAAGTGAGTTGGTATGCTTTACAATTAGGTACACCTGAGCCTGGTCCGTTGTTGACTGTACCTTGGTTTATAATGCATACAATGACCGTTCTCTTCATACCACCTAAGTTTTGCCGTCTATCCACGCTTATTTGATGATCCAGGTTGCACTAGCACCAGGAATCTGATATGCTTTTGACATTGTTCCGGTGTCAGAGAGCCTCAGTCTTTGCAACTGCTGCTTGATGCTCTTCTAAAGTCCAAACACTATCCACAGGAATGGGACACGGGATATCCAACTACAATATTAATCAGGACCGCTTCCCGGCGCTCAATCAAACTCGACCGTCTGGCCCTCGATCGTCTATGATGCTACATTCTGTATCAAAGTCAAAGTAGTCCTCTTGGCCCTCCCACCGCATGCATCCTTGCGTTGGGGCTCCGTTTCTTCGGTGGCTGCTCCGTTTCCGGTTCCCCCGAGTTCTTCGACGTCGCCTCGTCCGAGCTCCGTTTCTTCCTCACTTCTGGATGCCCCCGCGCGGCCTTGTTCACACCAGTCCCGGACACGCTCGGCACCGCCCGGTTCACGACATCCTCCGCATACGGCTCCGCCGGAACGTCCGTCGACTGCGGCGAGCCACACTGGCGCTGCCACTGGGCGGCTTTCGCGCCTTCCTCCACCCCCCGCAGATACTGCTCCTGCATGAACTGCCTCGGGAACCGCTCCTCCGTCACAAACATGCCCCCTCTAGGGTCCTCGCCCAGCCGTGTCAAGTGGGCGGCACCTCTAGAGCTTCTCACGGGGGCCTTCCCGAGGACCGCGTCGCCGACCGGGCTGCCCAACTCCCGCCGGCGGGCATACGCTATCTCCTCGACCGACTCGTTTCTGGTGGGCACCCGGGCTTCGTCTCCCCGGCCGGGGAGCACCGTCAGGTCGTTCTCGCTGTCGGTCCGGCGGACGACGTTGCTGGCGACGCTCGAGTCACATGCGAGGCCCAAATTGCGCCCGAAAGGCAGCATGGGAGACGCCCGGAGGTCCCACGTGGGGTAGTTGGCGAAGGCCGCCGGCGGGGGGGGGACCGGTGGCGGGACTCCCAGGGGAGCCTGCAGAGAAGGGGGGGGGGAGGATTAGGTGCGAGATTGTGGCCGACAGTGACAAGTCGTCTGTTTGAGACTGAGTTGCCAGCTGTCACTGGGGCTGTGACACCTGACAGCTGTCGAGGGGCCTATGCGCAGTGCGTAATGCCCACAGGCGTCATGCGGAGACTGTCAAGTGCGCGAGATTTACTCCAAAATACTATAGAGGCAGTTTTGTGCGTGATATGACGCCCTCAAGGGGAAACGCGCAGCCTGAGCGCTAAGGAAACGTGAGCCTTGATGGCAACATAAAACGCCTTCCTATATCCCCAGGCAATCACCTGCCAGCACAATCCTTCTTCTTCTATTGGTGAGGGATAGAAGAACGGAGGTTGATACATCTGAAAGAAGCGATGTGAAGTATCAGCAAAAGCAACCAGCCTTCCATGTGACCGCTCCGTGGTTATCGACCTGGTCGAGAGCGGAGTCCAAAAAGCATCTTACCACACTCTTACCCTTGCACAGTCAATATGGGCGGCACCTTGAAATGGAGCTGTAGAAGTTGTTTTGCTAACGAGAAGCATCACAGTCTGTTTGGTAACTTGACCTACTCCGGCTTCTGAAAGACGCTATAACAACTGTAACCTTGACACCTCCACCTCCACAAATGCCAAGGGGTTTCCAACGTAGCAATTGATACCAGTCACAACCTTCGTAGACTACAGATTGCCGACACAGCTCAAACGAGCGGGAGACAGTCAGACGAAAAGATCGAATTTCCGTGCTCTAGTGTGCAAGCAGCTTACTTTTGGGGTGATGAACTACAAGACCAAAAAAGTCGAGGCGCACCCATTATCAGACTAAGAGAAGGATCCTGCAAGGCCGAAGAGCGAGAGGCTATACTGAGCGGGACTAAAGGTCGCATCGCTGTGCAGGCGTCTTGAAAACCTACCTGCATAGCGCGGAGTTTGTCTCGCGCTGGCACTGTAGCCTTATCCGCTGTCACATACTGCCGCACGGGCCTCCCCCTTCGAGCAAACTCGGCTGCAGCTCCGCGGGGATCCCCCCACGCAAGCTCTTTCGTATCGGGGGGCACCTGGAGAACAGAATTTTTGACCCCCTGGACCCTGGCATCTGCCGCCCAGCTGACGGGAAAGAAGCCGAGGGCGCGCGGATCGGAGGGGTTGAGGGACCTAGGATCGGGGATAGGGTATGCGCCCTGCAGATGGAGGGGGACGGGGAGGCGGGCCGGGTCATAAGCTATCTGCCCCGGGTCATAAGCGACGGGAGCCACGAGATGTGGCGGTCGGGGGTAGCCGAGCTTCTGGAGGGGGGGAGGGGGAACGAAACCCTCGGGCCTTTCGAGGGCGGCGTAATCGTACGCAACAGGAAGCACGAACGAACTTGGATCCATTAGGGGGGGGTCGTGCACGTTGGAGTAGAGCGAAGAGTCGGGGGCGATCCTGGGGGGGGAAACCGTGAGGGGGTACGGGATGTGCGGATAATGCGCCATTGGGAAGGCTGGTGGAACGCGCGCTTTGCCGTAGGGGGGGGGAGACAGGTTCGATGGCTCCGTAACAGGGAGCTCGACGGGGTACGGCGTTTCCGGATATGCAATGTGCGGGAACGGAGAGGCCACAAAACCCGGCTGGCCCCTCGTTCTTGAAACAGGGGGGTGAGGGTCCGTGTCGAGATAGTTCCCCGACGGTGAGACGAGCTTGCCTCCCTCAAAAAGAGGGGGCGGCTGGTTCAAATCCAGTGACGGCATGAGGGAGGAAATGTCTCTGTCGGTGCGTATTTGGGCGGGACGTTCGCCCTGCGGTTTGGTAGTCCGGTGGGGGAAGGTGTTCGGGGGGTGGTCCCGACCCAAAGTGAAGACTTCGGGGTGCGTCTCGTAGTAGCCTCGAGCGGCGGGGGGGTCCTTACGCCCCCGGGAGAAGTGGACTGGAGCAGAGTTGGGGCGTGAGTGAACGCCCTGGAGAATAAGAAGGAATAGCCTTCAGTTAGTAACGGAGAAGGACCGTAAATGAAGAAGGACCGCCAATCAGTTTGTGATCGGGCGTAGCAAGCCCAAAACCCGCAACAGTCAAACTGACATGCACACTTCCAAGCTGAGACGCTTTTGAAAGGCCCTGTTTAAAGGCGCTGTGATCATCTTAGCCAGACCATCAGACGAAACAAGAAGCTCATAAACCTTTGGTCTTTACATCAGCTTTGTATATGCGGCTTTTCATGAACGAGTTCGTCGTCTTGAATTTGAATGCAGATTGATGCATTGTTTGACAGCGATACCCCGCATAAGGAAAGCGCCCAATTACCTCCTTCATAAAAAGAGCATGCTGAACGGTTGCTTCCATATTTTTACACTTTTTGAAAGAGCGGACAGCCCTAGCTATTGAGGTGGATGATCCTGATGATTGTACCTGCGAGAAATTAACAAACGATCTTCCTCGCTTGAAAGGGGTTAAGATGTAGAGGAACTCAAGGACTTGCCTGAACTCATCATCTTCGAGTTCGTGAGAGTCCCGACAGCCTTTTGGACAAGCACAAAGCAGTCCCTAAGAAACGCATCACAAGCAATCTCTAAGTCATGCAAATCAAGTAGCCTCAAACACGAGAGTTTCGACTTAAGATGATCCGAAGACAATGATGCAGAACAGGAGCTTTAAAAGAAGGCTCTAGACGCTTTTCTAGAAATTTCCGAGTGAGAAGCGTCAGACCCTTTCTTTTCAAGTGCCATGCATAGACCGACCTGGACAAGACGTTTAGCAAACAGACGCCTACCTGCAGAGACGTCCCTGGCGCGATCGGCGTGGAGTTCGGCCACGACAGAGACTGCGACCGTGCATCCTCTGCCGCCTCTTCCGGCACCCCCCGGTTCCGTTCATGGGGCAATTGCCACCTCGACGTGGCGTCAGCCCACGAGGGCTGCATAGCCTTCCCCAAGGGGTTGACTATGCCATGGTTTGCACCCCCCATAACGCGAGGTTTCTGGTCAAAGCCAGCGGCAAACACGTGGGGCGAAAACGGAGACGCCCAGTCTGGAGGAAGGGCACCGTACGGCGGCGCTGGGACGGCACGGACTGCGCCAAACGGGTACACCATCGGATCGAGGGGGACTTTCGGGTAGGGGGGCACCTTGCTGGGGACGCCGGAGACCCCCCCGAAAAGCTGGGAGTAGACTGGCACGCCCTGGAGGGGTATCTCGGGGATCCCCCGGTTCAGAACGTGGGCGGGGAGGAGGGGGTATTCTGGCACGACGGCCGGAGGTGTCGGGCGGGTGATCCTGCGGGAGGGGGGTTCTCGCTGGACGAGCTCCTGCTGTGTGAAAGGGGGGGGCAGCTTGGCGGCGCGCTCGGGGGGGGGCCACAGCGGGGGGACGAGTTCAGCCCAATGCCGACTTCGTGCGACATGCCGCTAGACGAGTGCGCCAGAAACGCCTCGACGGACGATCTCAGAGCGGCGGGGTAGTCAAACCCTCGCGCCTTCTGGGGGACGTTCGCAGCGCGGGGGGGAGGCGGGGAGAGGTTTCCCCGGGACGGTTCCACCCGTGGCCGCTTCGCTTGCTCCCGGGGGCCGGCCTTTCGCCTCTCCTCTTCGGGGGGGTGGTTGGGAACATGTTGGTGAGGCTGACCCGCCGCCCCCCTGGACCGACCCCACGCGTCCTCCTGCCAGTCCTTGTGGCGTTTCACCCCCCGTTCGACGTCCGACGTCTCTCTGCTCGTGCCCAGTTCGAGACGCGCAAACCCAACCGAGCCGAGCGGCTGCCCCACCGACCCATGCAAAGTGTCCGTGTTGCTCATTCGGTTCTGCCGACCCCCCGACTGCAACGCGAGCCCAAGGGAAACGGGGGGGCTGGGAGTGCTCCGTTCAGCTTCCAGAGCCATGCCCCCCTTATGATGCTGCTCGTCTTTTCGCAGACCCAAAACCCCGGCCTCCGGCCAGTCTTGCCGCCCAATCACGTTGTTCCGCTTCTCAGCCAGTGGGGATTGGGGGCTAGGGTCGCGGTCCTCCTGCCCTGACCCGCTCCCCCCCTCTGCGAATTCCTGCCCCCCCTCGATGCCGGAGCTGCACCACAGAGACAACCCGAGCGGCACTCTCGCTCGCTTTGGCGCCTCAGGTCTGTGGTCCCCGTTTGCGATCCGCAACTCTAGCTGCACCCCTTCCTCCTCGAGCTGCCTCTGCAAGAGAAGCTTCTGCTGGCGTTGCCTAGCGGCAGGTGAAAGCGCCCTCCCCTGAGAGGGCCCCCCCCTCGGAGACTGGAAGCTGTGCTGCCGCTGATCCCCCCCCGCAAGCGCCAGTTTGTCGCCACTGTCCGTGTACCCCCCCGGCAGGCCCTGCGAATCGACGTCAGCTTCAGCCCCACTGCTGTGGGGGCTAAGTGAATCTTCCCCGCTTCGGCTTGACGACTCCTTCCGAAGAGAAGACTCCGCCCCAGCCTTTGCGCACCCCCGCTGCATCCGTTCGATCCCATTATCGAGCCCTGCGTACAGCTGTCGTGCCTCCCTAGCACGCACGATCTTCGCGGCCGCCTCCGCCTCCCTCTCCGCTTGCAACCGCACCGCCCGGGCCTCGTCGCTCTCTTTCAGCAGGTCCAACTCCGCTGTCGCAATCTCGGCTCGCAGGTCCCGGCTTGCGATCGTCGTCCATCCGTTCTCCCAAAACTCCTCGTGCCCGGCCCTCCCCCCCGAAAGCACGCTCGACTTCGGCGGGCTCTTTCCAAACTGCGCCCCCGGGTCTGCCAGATCCAGCCCTCTCAACCGAGGAGCACTCAGCTGATCCAACTTTGCTGCATGCCCGTTCTCTTTCTCCAGACCCCCCTCAGCTGGCAAAGTCCTCCCAGGGTGGTAGAACGCTGGCTTGCTGGCAACGCCCAAGCCTCCAAAAGCCCCCAGTGGTCGTGCAGTCCTCCCATGCATGGGGGGAGAGTGCAACACCACCCCATCCGGGGCAAGCAGTTCACTAGTCAGCCCGGTCGTGCCGGTGTCACTGTGCTTCGGCACAAACCCTTTCTGAAACTTTTCAGGGGGGTTCCACCCCACTTCCTCCACCCCCCTGTCGGCAGGGACTACTAGCTTCGACCGAGGGGGGCTGAATCCTAGGCCGAACTTGTCTGGAGGACCCTCGCTTTTTGAGGTGGGAATGACAACGGTTGCAGGGCCACTGGGAATTGGCAGGGAAGCGGTCCTCTGAAGTGGGGCAGGGCCTTCTGCTGGGGTCGCAGGCTCGTCGAGCGGAACCTAACGCCAAGAGGGAGTCACAAGATTTAGAGCTTGTCATCCAAGACCACGATATGAAGCAAAGAAAATTATATAACGTCCCGAGGAAGCACTGGCGTTGCCTGTTCAACGATCTCTTCTGTCTTTACAAGGGAATCTTGGGGAAGTGCGTCTACGTACACAAAACATGAAAAGAGTTTCGACTTGGAAACCTCAGCTCAAAGCTGCCAAAACCGGTTCAGATACAACATCTTGGCTGGCCAGCAGCCCCATGTCCGCATGCTTTCATACAACTCAATTCAAGCAGATGACAGCTTTGTATGTCCTTGAGTTATTCTACAACAATGCAATAAAAGAAAAAAGCGAAGCCTTTCACCTGACACCCTCAGAGAAGGCACTTCATGCACAACAAGCGGCCACTGAACTGCACACCTTATAACCTTTCCCCTCAAGCATGAATCCTTCCCTCCGTATGTCTCAACTTTAAACTAGACACACAGCCAGGAACTCCAAATCTGAGCTCCCAAACAAGGTCCAACATAAATACTCCGGACATCGAACAACTAAAACGTTGCAGACCTGCCAGACCTTTGAATCACCGCATATCAGGCCTTTATTTTCAAGGGCCAAACACAGCCACCAAATCCATGGCATTGAGCACCTAAAGCAAGGAGCTTCTCGTATCTGTATGCAATTGCCAATTCCGGGGCTGAGAAACCAGGAGAAGACTTAGAGCGCAACCTCACCTTGGCCCGCTTCGGTTGCGACGCTTCGAGCAGAAGGTGGAGAGGGAATTTGTCCAAGCAACGCGCGATGCCGGCTACGCACTCGTCGACCTCTTTGCGCTGGGGCTCATCTAGGGTCACCGGAAGAACCAGTTGCCTGCAAATAGGTGACGAAATAATGAGCAACAAAGAGCTGTAGAATGAGGGCAAACGGGTCTAGGTATTGCTCTCTAGGTCGTTCTTCGAGGACTTGTGTGCGAAAAGAAGTACGTGACAAGAGGGAAGCGGTCAGAAGGAAGTATCGGCGAGCTGATCGCCCCAATGTCAGCTATCCCCTTTGCAGCCACTTCCCAGCTTGGCACACACACTAGAGGAATAAGAAGTTAAAAACGTAAGGGTATAATTCAAGCATCTGCCTTAAGACCTCACTTACTGAATCAAACCTTGACAAAGCGGGTAGGAAGCTGAGTATTCTTCACAAGAGCAGGGGGGAACTTGCAGATGCAGCTACTCTGACTGATGAGAAAAATTGACTGCACATCCACCAACTAAGCTATTTCTGATTCTAATTCGTCTAAACGAAACCATGAAGGGACATTGACTATGATGAAAAGAATGACCCTCTTGCTGTTGTCCTTTAAGGTGACTCTGCTAAGGGAATCATGTAGCCAGTGCATGGGGTGCTGGATGATGCAACCAATCTGTCATACTTCGGCTAGCCTATGGGGTTACACAAGAGTCACCAGTCAACTTGCCTATGCCTAAGAGCACAGATGAAACACTAGAATGATGATCATGCACCTGCTTAAGGGCGGAAAAGCTTTCCGACTCAGAAAGTAACTGCAATCACCAAGAATGATAAGATCCTTGTGATGTTCTTATGAGGCAGACAGTATCCAGATCATCTGAATTGCACGAAACGAAGTGCTAAATACATACGAAAATTGTGGGGAACAGCTGCAGTTTGCCACAAGAGGCAACAAGAACTCAAGGCATTTCCCGTTCCCATTGAGCTACATCATATGTTGAGTGGACAACTGATCAGAGTTTCTCGTAAGCATCTCTTGACTGAACGGTTGACACCACAGGTACAATCCCCTGGTTAAGGCCTTCTGGCAATGAGCAGGACCTTTTGCGGCTTAACATTGGTCAAAAGAGCAGTGTTTGTGTCACTTGAAATCTTACAAGATGCTTGATCAATGCCAAAGCGCAATTGCAAGAGAAAGCGGCACAATTGCCTTGTGCTAAAAGTGTTTCAGAGGAATTGCGTCTCCCCATTCCATCCTAATTCAATTTTGGCATTTGCTCACCCATTCACAAGTGCCTGCGCCTGATCGTGCAACTTCTTCAGGCTCTCCAAGGATGCTGGAGCCACTTTCCGCTCGGTGCTTGGGTTTTCTAGGATTTTGACGACAACCGGGAGGCGGTTGACTAAAACCTGCCATTTCAAATCCCCGCCCTGCCTATTCGCCGCCATACCCCCTGAGGGCAAAATTCTTCTTCTTCCCGCATCGAGATGTTCAATCAAATGCCACGCCCCTCGTCTGCTTCCGACGTCTCTTCTAAGATCATCACGGCCTTCGTTTGCGATCAGCTCAATTGGCAACAAACTTCACAAGAGGTTCACAAGTCCCAAACAAAACCATTGCCTCAATTCAAAAACGTGCGGCTGTGGCTCTTGTCCTGGATTCCAACTCACTTCCCTGCCTCTAGTCTCCAGAAGCCCCTTCCCTGCCTTTGAGAAGCATGGCGGAAACGACCGCAGGGCATGCTCCAGAATACGGTATGCAGGCTGTTCCAATGGCAACAGTATGCGCCATGTCATGTCATTGTTAACAGTCTTCAGCTGAGTGGACATATTTTGGTCGGTAGGCGATGAACCGGGGAGAATCGAAGCTGCCCCGGGCTAACCATAGCTTGACCCGGAAACCTGAAGATGGCTCTGTCAGAAAAAGGCTCAAAGGTGGGGTTAAGTGTAACGAGGCCCAGGCAACACGAAACCGGGGCGCGCGATGGGAGCCCGACCACCAATTGGTTGAACCCCTAGATATACCTACTAGTACTGTTCCTGGTCAGCAGCTGAGTAGCCCATGTGAGATTGTCAGAAGCACGTGAAGTTCATCACGTGCACAAGAGTTTGTCAGCCAGGAGTTGGGAAACACTCAAAGATACTCAGATTGCAAACGCACGCGGGCCAGGAGCTGGAAAATCTTGGTCCTACGTGGCAAAAAGCTCGGCAAAGCTGGAGGTTCACACTGCTCCACGTGTTGACTCGTGATGCATCGTGAGAGAACGCGCGCGCATCAAAGACGTTCCGGTTCCGCGAGACGCTTCGGTGTCCATTCCGTCAGACCAATGAAGTCACGGAACATAATACCTAGTAGTGATTGAAAAATTGACAAGTGACGACAGCCGTGATTATGCCCCACACTACCCACCAGTGTTCGACACGAGCCGTCACACCAGGCAAACGTCAGCCGACGGGATTGCCACCCGGCCGACTCAACCGAGGGGCGTCGGCCGAAAAGCCGACAAAATCGAGGTATATCTGAGGGGTTTGGCTGACACAAGCCGACCGGTTCCCAGGTCCAGCCGACTAAACGGAGAACAGTCGGCTCCCAGCCGACAAAATAAAAATTCCGTGTCGAACGCTGCTACCCAACTGCACGGCACCGGGCAGGGGTGCGGAGTCCGGACAGGATTTTGCCCCGGGGCGCTTGTGTGCCCCGGCCCTCGATCTGCCCGAGGGCGCAGGATATTTCCCGGGGGCGCTCCGCGCCCCATATTCTGCGCCCCACCAGCCCCCCCCTCTGGAAATAAAACTGCACAGTGCACATGGCTGCCATGTGGC